TGTGTGTGTGTGTGTGTGTGAGAGAGAGAGAGAGAGAGAGAGAGAGAGAGAGAGAGAGAGAGAGAGAGAGAGAGAGAGAGATCAGGAAAAAATAAGGATTGATTTGAGCTCCTTTGTCAGACTAACTTATCTCATCTGTTCAGCAGAACCAAATACTTATGGTTGTTTGTGTGGCATTTGCAGCAAAATGAAAAGAAAGAAGCATTCTCTTTGGGTGGGTCCTTTATAATCAAAACGAGTATATATCTTTTAGCTTGAAAACTTAGAATCTCAGTAATTGAATAGAATGCGCTGACCCTGAGGATAAGTTATCATGCCTTTGAGCCCCTTCCCGGTATTATTAGAGGAAGGGAGAGGGTGACTATAAGGTTAATGGATTCTGCTGCTAAACCGAACTTGGAAATGAGGTTTCATTGATTTAATATTTCCTCTATTAAGCCTCCCAAGACTGTCCCTTGTGGCCCTACCAAAGTGCAATCATGGTGCTTTCTTCCCATGAGAGTCTGTACCCTGGCTCATGCTGTGACAGGGACAGATGATCAGCTCAGGCTGGCCCTTTGGTTAGCTAGCCAGTCCCTTTGTTGCCCCAGAGGGTCACAGCCCAGGTCCAGAGCAGAGCAGCTTTAAGCTCAGCCTCCTCCTGAAGAGGCTGCAGGTTCGTGGCCTCAGACACTCCCTTGCTGTGTGTGACCCTGAGAGGGTGTCACCTCTTCCGAGAGTGGATACCAACCAAATGTGTGGCCTGGAGGTTAAGAATCGTTACACCCACACACTTTGCCTGCTCAAGAACCTCGATTGTGGCTTCCTTGGGTGACAGGCCGCACTGCTGTCTCCCTGCTACCTTGCCCCCCTCAGCCGCCCTGTTGCCTCTGCCCTCATTCTGTGCTTCTCTAGGCTGTGCTGACTGGCAATTTGAGCATTCTGTTTGTTTGCCTACCTCTCACCTACCACCTGGCTGCCCCGCACCACCCCTGCTCTGGCGCCCCCAAGGCCCGACACAAACACAAAGCTCTAATTTCTGTCCTATTCCAATGGTGCCCCTTCATGTCTTAATGACACTGCCCCTCTTTCATACGTGTGCATTTGAGGTGGGCTGTTAGCATCTCTGAGGCCTGTCCTAGTCTTAACATTTCTGATCCAGGTTCTTGTGCCTTCCCCCCTTTCCCCTTCTCCCACGCACCCCCAGCACTTTCCTCTTCTTGTAGGCAAACAGGCAACACTGCCTGTGTACCTGAGATTGACACCATTCAAGGACTCTGGTAAAGGGTTCCCAAACCATGGGCCTTCCCAGGATCCTATCTGCTGTACCCATGACCTTTTGTCTGAGGCAGATTCTCACCATTTGTGGGTAGATTTACTTTTTTAGGGTTAAGAGTCTGGTGAATAAAGAGGACACAAAAATTGGGGTATGCTCTCTCTGGTAAAAATTAAACAAAGAGGCTTTTTAATGTAAACTGAAGGCTGTGGCGTGAATGTTTTGAGCAATAGCTATATTTTTGGAATGTGTTGTCATTGCTTATAAGTACAGCCTTTGTTTGGATGTGTGAGTTCTAGTGTGTTATGTAAAAAACAAGTGTCATTTCTCCATAGCTGCGTCAAATAAAACAAGGACATTTCCAGCATGTACAGAGTTCATCTGTTTTATTATTTGAATATCAGTGTAAGTTGGGGTTGTCTGAAGCTTTCGTCAAAATGGTGATGGTATCCTAGCCCCTTTATGGAATGTACAGTAAGACCAGGGCAAGTTTAGAATTCATCTAAGATACCAACCTTGGGTCCCAACTCCGCTTTTGCTAACAGGTAAAGTGGCATCATGCAAATACCTAGGCTGGAATGGTAGACCTGAGAGTCTCTCTATCACCAACTCACCTGTGTGATTCTGGCCAAATGCCCAATGTATCTGAACCTCGATTTCTTCTTTTTAAATATGGGAGGGAAAATACCTTAGGAAATTTTTCAAAAAACTTTATTGTATCAAAATCCACATAAGATAAAATTTGTCTTCTCAACCATGTTTTTAAGTGTCAGTACCTTCACTTTATCATAAAACCAATTCCCAGAATGTTTTCATCTGCAAAACTGAAACTCTATATCCATGGGACAACTTCCTCTTCTTTCTCCCACCACCCCAGGTAACAACCATTCTACTCTGTTTCTACTGAACTGACTGATTACTATTCACCTCACAGTAGCAATATATAGTTTCTGTCTTTTTGTGTCTGGCTTATTTCAGTTAGACTAATATCCTCGTGATTTGCCCATGTTGCAGCATGTACCAGAATTTCCTTTTTCGAGGCTGAATAATATTTCAGTATGTACATGCACCACATCTTGTTGTCTATGCATTTATCAATGAACAATTGTATTTCTTGTACCTTTTGGCTATTGTGAGCAATGCTATTATGAACATAGGTATACAAATATCTCTTTAATACCATGTTTTCAATTCTTTGGGATATATACCCACAAGTGGAACTGCTGGATCATATGGTATTCTAAATTTTTGGAGGAACCACTTACCAGTTTTTTTCATAGCAGCTATATCATCTTATAGTCTCGTGGACAGTCTCTCCACATCCTCACCAACTATTGTTGTTTTTTGGTGTTTGAGAGTAGCCATACTAATGGGTATGAGATGATAGCTCATTGTGATTTTGTTTTGCATTTTTCTAATCAGTTAGTGATATTGAACATTTTTTTCAGGTGCTTATTGGCCATTTGTATATCTTTGGAGAAATATTTGTTCAGGTACTTTGCCCACTTTTAAATTGGATTGTTTGGTTTTTGTTGTTGTTGAGTTGTAAGCATTCTTGATATTCTGGGTGTTAATGCCATATATGACTTGCAAATAATTTCTCCCATTCTGTAATTTTCCTTTTTACTGTGTTGATTTTATTATCCTTTGATGGACAGAAAGTTTTCATTTTGATATAGTCCTGTTTCTTTTTTCTTTTTATTTTCTTTTGTTACCACAAAATCATTGCCAGATCCAGCAACATGAAGCTTTTGCCTTGTGTTTTCTTCTCAGAGTTTTAGCTCTTGGTCTACGTCTTTTATCCATTTGGAGTTACTTTCTATATTTGGGTGTGAGGTAAGGGTCTAACTTCATTCATTTACATATTGCTATCCAGTTTTCCCAGCACGATTTGTTGAAAAGACCTTTCCCACTACACTAGCAGGAAGTTGTCCTGTGTATACGAACTAAAAATACTATATACATGAAGTACCCAATGCCTGGCTGTGACTTAGAAAGTAATGATTGCTCTTCTTTTGCTTTTCTGAGATGTAGTTTTTCATTACTAAAGTTGATTTGTAGTAATTATCATAGCAAATACCTAATAGTGCTGACTGCTACAGACTATTTCATTATTAGTTTGTTGAATATTCATACCAGCTCTGGGGGTTGGTAGACTTATTTTCACTAATTTACAAATGAGGAAGTCAGGGTACATAGGAGTTAAGTAATTGGGCTAGGGTCACATGCTAGTAAGTGGTAGCGCCTGCATTGGAACCTGGGTAGTTTGGCTCCAGAATCTGTGGACTAGTGAATTGAACATATTCCTGTTTGGGGTGCTTTTTGATAGTTTAGGCCTCTATGCGCTTTTCAGTCTGGAGTTTAGTGAATGAAGGTCAATGTTATGACATCAACCCTTAGGCCTGGGCCTCCTGCTGGGTGTCCTTTTGTCAAAGCAGCACCCTCCCTCCCCACACCCCCCAGAACTGCTGTTAGCTCAGTTCCTCTGTGTGGGAGGAAAATGTGATAGTTTCAGTCCCTTCTTTCTTGCCAGGGTCCCCTTGTTCTAGGAGAAAAGTAAACCAATTTTCTTTCTGAATTTACAGAAAAGGCAACAGATGGCTCCCTGCAAAGTGAGGACTGGACATTGAACATGGAGATCTGTGACATCATCAATGAGACAGAGGAAGGGTATGTTTGCCCCAGACTCCCCATCCTGTGAGCTTGTCAGCTCTCGGTGTCACTCAGGCCTTTCAGGACTAAGGGTGTTGAACGTTTTACTTTTCGTTTTGCTTTGGCATTTAATAAGCTGACACTCTTAATTATCTTTCCTCCTCCCATCCATCTTCCCACCCATACTTTCCTAATGGCAGCGCTTGAGTTAGAGCAGTGACAGCCTCTTTTAATAACCTGCTTTCAATCACAAGTGAAGATGAAGTTGGTTGGTTACTTGGCCCCTGGTAGTCGTTAGTCTCTGCAGCCAAATCATTACCCCCTTTCACCCCTGCTCCTCAGCCTCTCCTTCTGGGGCTGTCTCTGCCCTGCTTTGCTGGACTGGAGCCCCAGGAGTCAGCAAGCCCCCACAATGACCATGGGGGAGGCAGGAAATTGGAAAATCCTTGCGAAGCATAGGGCAGGTGTTTCTGGCATGGGGGGATTTGACCCCCAGGCCACCCCTCACGACCAGGTCTGCTCTGGTAGTTGTCTGTGTATTCTCTCCTACATTATAGCTTCATTCTGTTTATCCTTTTTCTAAATTAGCCTCCATTTGACCCTCTGTCCATACCATAAACATATCTTCTGTAGTCTTACCCTCTTCAAACCGAGACTGAAAGATGAAAACAGCTTGGGCTCAAGCTACCCTAGGCTGGCATCTCAGTGCTGTCATTTACACATGCCTAGCCATGTGTAAGCTGGGCACCAGCTTCTTAAGGTTGAAACTGCTTGTCAGGCAACAAATATTTACTGAGAGACTGCCTTGTACTGGGCCCTAGTAGAAGTCCTAAGGTTACCGCAATGACAGTACAGACAGGTCCCCTTCCCACGAGGAGCTGACAGTGCTAAACGGGGAGGCAGGCCACAGACAAGATAATTTAAGCACCTATAATGTGGTCAGCTGGTGAAAAAGCTATGCAGAGAAGTGAGCTGGAAGGGATTAAGGGAAGGAGGTGGGCAGCTCTTGAGTCGCTTGCCAGGTAGCAGTGAATGGGCTGAGGTGCCCAGGTGTGTGCCCATGGCTGCAGGTGCAGAGGGAGAGGCGGCTGCGCCTCCAGGCAGGCAAGTTCAGGCTGGGCCTCGGATTGTCAACTGCTTTTCTAGTCCACACCTTACTCTCCTTTTATGCTGTCTTCTCCTTTCACTGATTGATTCTGTCATTCTCTGCACCTTAGTTTGAACCTCATTGCCCTGGCACCCCTCCCTCCTTTAAATGATTTCATCTATTATACTTGCCTCCTCATGGTTTAAAGTTACACATTTGTGTAATGTTTGTTACAGTGTGTCTTGCCCCCAACCACCCCTTAGATTGTGAGCTCTATGAGGGCAGGGATTTTGCTTTTCTTTGTCTGCAGTGCCTAGCACAGTAATTGCATATAATTGACTCTTGATAATTATTTGCTAAATAAGTGAGTAAATGAAGTCCCTAAGCAACTCCGTAGTCTGCGGAGGAAAGCAGGCATGTGAACATAATCATAGCACAGTGTGACCAGGGCTCTCAGAAGCAGCATCTCTGGGAGAGAGCCTAGAGCAGTGGCAGTTAGGAGGGCTGGGCTGATGGGAGCAAAGTCATCTTGAGGAGGTGACACCCAAATGGAAGTCTGCAACATTAGCCGGGTGAGGGGGTGAAGGCAGGGGAGGGCAGTGGACATCCAGGCTGGTGAGCAGTGTGTGACAGGTGCATAGGGGAGTGTCGAGGGGTTAAGGGAATGAATGAAACCTGGAGCATCTGCCGGGGTCCTTGGTCCTTTACCCACGTAGTCTCTCTTCTGTCAGTTTGCTCATTTATAGAATGGGGACAGCAATAGTGCCTATACTGTGGGTTCACTGTCCTTACCCCGTCTGCCATTCCCTGAGCACTTGCCACATCCCAGACCCCACCAGCTCATGCAGCCCACACAACAGCCCTATAAGGTAGGGACAGCTCATTTTAATATTGAGAAAATTGATGCCCCAAGTGTTTGGTTGCTTGCCAAAGGTCTCAGGCATAGCTAGGAAGGGCAGGTGCAGGATGCCAGCCTAGGCTGCTGGCTCCAGCCACTTGGGCGCTGACTGAAGTTCTTTTATTTATTCTAAGCTTTACTCTGGGAGGCTGTGGTTCTGGTGGGTACAGGTTAGGTGAGCTGTCCCCACAGATTCCTTCCTGGGGTTTTCTCATGTCTATGACTGAGATCACTTCTAGTCTCTGGTGTCCTGGATCCTGGGCCATTAGTCAGGAATGCCTGGCTGAATAACTTGCGCAAGAATGTTTTTGACCCGGCTTACAGAGCCTTGCCCAGACCTCCCTAGTTAGGGTGTAGGCATGTGGATTTGGAACCTGTACCCCAGCCGCTTCTGAAATATGACTCTGATGAGGCTAAACCTACCTGGGTCATTTTTATAATCATCTCTGGGGGTTTTCCAGCTCACTGAGTCTTTGTGCCCCAGCCTCTAAGCTGGAAGAGACAGAGGAGGGAAAGCACTAGATAAATGCCATAGAGCAAAACAATCAAATTAATGGCTGAGAAGGAGGGAGGGTAGGAAGTAGGGGGAAAAGAGGTGTTCGGGTGGTACGGAGTGGGCAGCTGGGTCCTCTTGGGGGGTGACCAAGGAGAAAGCATCTCAGAAGCAGGAGTTCTAGAGCTGAAAGACTAGATGAGTCCCACATACCTAGGAAGACTCTTCTAAGTATGGGGTCTGAGGAGACTTTGGGAGGCAGAAAGTGCCCCAGAGGCCAGGTCATGAGGATCTGCGGCCACACGAGGGCCTGGCCTTCCCCAGAGGGCTGCCTGTCCACACATCTTCCTGATCCCTTGCTCCTGCTCCATCTGGGCGCTTGACTCTTCCTTCTCTCCTTTCTCCCTGTTCCAACTCCATGCTGTCTAATCTGCTGCTGCTTCTTGAAACGTTGCAATCCCTCTGACATGGCTTTGATCCGCCTCTGTGAAGCTTCTCCCCCGGAGAGAGGGACAAATACTTGCTTTTGTGCTCCCCCAGTCACTCTCAGGCTGTACTTTCCGCAGATGAATTTTCATTTTAACTCTAACCCAGGAGGAGCCTGCTGACTCTCTGATTTACCACCACCACCATCACCCCACACCAGGAAACTCTGAGTATGTGATGCTCTGTGAGCTACAAGTGATCACAGCCCTTGGAAGCTGTTCCCATTTTTCTGCTCCATGCAAGTTCAAGAGGAGAGGAATGAGACTGAATTGAGAGGGATGGCTGCAGTGGGCCAGGGCTAACCATGGCTTGGCAGAGCCTTTGAGGGAAGAAATCAATCCATGTTCTTGGCCTGCAGCTGCTGACCTTCACCAGCTCAAGTCCACAAACAGCCTTCAAAGCTGAAAACTTGTCAAATTCTGTATTTGCAAAAATCAGCATCCCTGTTTGGAAAGTGCAGCCATCCTGCCAACATTTGGTCGGGACCCAGTCTCCAGAGAGCCTCATCCCAGCAGTCCATCAACTCGGGAGCCAAGAATTCCTGCAGGGCAACCATGCTTCAAATTGGGAATGGGAAATTGGTGACTCAGGGTATTTGTTTACTTCCTCTAGAAGTCTTGCCTGGCTACTGTATATTTCGGTCTAAATTGGGCTGATCAGCAGAGCTTCCACCCTCCCTTCCCCTAAGTTCCTCACACACATTTGAAAGAACTTTTTTGTTTGCTAAACAGAAAATACATATTTCAGAGCTGTAATAATAGAACAGTCAACTTATGGAAGAGCTTTCACCATGGCCCACTTACACCCTGGGGACTGACTAAAAGTCAGTGAGATTCTTTCTGGGACTCTATATCAGATCCATTACTAAAATCAAACTTTTGGCATTTAGCGACTTACTTAAGTCAGGGAAAAAAGGAGTTTCATGTACCCTGGGGCGGTGAAATCCAGGCCTAGCCTGGCCATACTCTCCTCTTTGTCACTCCTATGGCTTCTCAGGAAAAACCTGCATTATACCCACACCCCAATGGGTAAGCTGCTGTTTTGAATACATAATACTTGCCTATGATACAAAATTCAAAAAGATTGCAAATAGGCAGCACAGTGAAAATACCTCTTTCCCTACTCTGTCACCCAGTTCCTAGCCAGCTACCAGCTTCCTGTAGGTCCTTCCAGAGGTTCTTTCCTGTGTACATCATATGTTCTTGTCTTATTACAACTCCAATTGGAGCAAACCTGTGCTGCTCTGCCGGTCACTCTGTTCATGTATCTTTGAGTTTGTTCCAGATGGTGCATAAGGAGAGTCTGTATCCTTTTTTTTTTCAGCTGCATAGTATGCCCTGGTGTGGACAGATGTGTTTTAGCAATAACTTGTTTCATTGATGGCCATTTAGTTTATTTCCAATATCTTACATTTGGAAACATGCTGCCATGAATAATTTTGTATGCACGCACAAGTAGGAGTGAACCTGTAGGATGTGCCCCAACATGGAATTTGCAAGGCTCTTACCATGTCTTTTTTTTCCAGGCCAAAGGATGCCATTCGAGCCCTGAAGAAGCGGCTCAATGGGAACCGGAACTACAGAGAAGTGATGCTGGCATTAACAGTGAGTGCTGCTTGCTCAGGGATGGGAAAGCACCTGGGGAAATCCATGCTCCTGGCCTTGCCCCACTCATGGGGCAGAGTGGGGCAAGCCTCCACTGAGCACAGCCTCCAGGACCTACATCCAGTGGCTGGCCTGGTGCATATGCCTTTGGGGGACTGCAAGGCCCTCTGTAGTGCCCTTGGGGTTTCCTACCCTTCTCTGAAACAGGGTGAATGTAGACCAGCAGAAGATGAGGCCTGGGCAGCACTGCTTGGCACAGAAGCCAGGAGTAGAGAGCCAGAGGCTTCGCTGTGGGTTACCTTTGGACCCCCAGCCTGCTGTGAGACATCTATGCTGGCTGCTTCCCCTGTCGTCATTTTCCTCTTTATAAAAATGCCAACTTTCGCTCGGCTCCACAAGCCCTAGACTTGTGGAGCTTCTCAGATGCTGATACAGATGCTTTCCATAACCTTCCAAATGGTTTCACATCATCACCCACCCATAGATGGAGAAACTGAGGCCAGAGAGGTCTTGATGTTTGCCTAGACCTTACAGCTATCCAAACACACCAAGCTCAGAGTACAGGGTGAAAGCCCATCATCCTTGCAAATTCCTGAAAAATCAGCCAAGTGATTCTTTTAGGAAGGAATAGACCAGGCTTCTTCCCTTCCTTCAGATGTCAGGAAATTAAAAGGGACAACTTTAGGTGTTATTTCTGTCTTGAAAGTGAACAGTTTTTCAGATGTGGCAAAAACTGGGCCACAGTGAGTTCTTATAATAGAAACTGTAACAGGTCAGCATGTGGACCTCTCCATAGGTTTGAATAGTGGGTTATTTATCCCAAACAGCCACAACATATTTCCTGTTAGAGCAGAGAAACTACTTGGCTTTTTTGCCAAAGTGAAAACCGAAGACTTATTAAGAGACTTCTCTCAGCCAGGGGATTGGGATTTGAATAATCAAGAGGAAAAAGACTAGCTAAGAAATAGGGAGTTGAAAGCTTATTTTTTTCTCAGAATTTGATTCATGGCATTTGCTAAACCCAGTGTGATGCCCAAAATGAATTGTTTTCAGTAACTAAAATCACCGGGGAATGTACTTTAACATGCTGGGGCATTTTCCTGGTATCCAAATTTACCCTCTTATGGCCCGACTTCAAGGTGACAGTATTGGATAGAAATCTTTCTAAAGTGGATTCTGCTTTTATTTCCTTCCTACAGCAGAGTATGATGGGAATCAGTCTTGACGGTCAGGTCTTTTTTTTTTTTAGTTATACTATTATATTCCCCCTCCCAGTTTTATTGAGATTTTACTGACTTTTAAATGAGGTATATTTAAGATATATAATGTGATACTTTGATACATGTATTGCAAATTGATTACAATAAGATTAGTTAACACCTCCACTCCCTCACATAATTACTTTGTGTGTGTGTTGGGGGGGGGAGGTAAACACACTTAAAATCTACACTCCTAACAGCTTTCTAGATATACCACAGCATGGCTGATCAGTCACACGATAAACATTGCTCCTCAGACTGACTTATGTTACAGCTGAAGTTTGTACCCTTAAGCCAACATCTCTCCATTTCCCACACACTCCAGCCCGATAGCTACCATTCTACTTCCTGTGTAGAAGTAAGATTCTGTGTAGAAGTAAGAACATACAAAATTTGTCTTTTTCTTTCAGACTGAAGGCATAATGCCTTCAGTTATCCATCTGTGTTGTTGAGAAAGGCAGAATTTCCTTCTTTTTTTTTATAGCTGAATACTATTTTTCTGTGTGTGTGTGTGTACTTTGTCTTGGCGACTGTGAATAGTACTACAATGAACATGGGCGTGCAGATATGACTTTGAGATAATATATTCATATCCTTTGGAAAAATGCCTAGAAGTGAGACTGCAGGCTAATATCCTGGTTTTATTTTAATTGTTTGAGGAACCGCGATACTGTTTTCCATAGTGCCTGTCCCAGTTACATTTCCACCACTGCACACACATACCCTTTTCTCCACACTGCCAATACTTCTTTCTTGTGTAAAAAAAAACAATGTTATCATTTTAAAAAATAGCCATTCTAGTAGATGTGATAAGATCACTCATAGAGGTTTTGATTTGTACCTCCCCAGTGATTTGTGATGTACAGCATCTTTTCATGGACCTGCTGGCCATATGTATGTCTTCTCTGGAAAAATGTGTTCCGTGTTCACCCATTGTATTGTGTTTCTTTGCTTTTCTCTTGAATTGTATGAGTTCTTTATATATAGTTTGGGTATTAACCCTTTCTCTCATAGATGGTTTATATTTTCTCCCATTTTACAGGTTGCCTTTTTGTTGTGCTGATTGTTTATTCTCCTGTGCAGAAGCTTTTTAGATTCATGTAGTTTCACTTGTTTATTTCTTCTATCACTTGTACTTTTGGTGTCATGTCCAAAAAGGTTTTGCTAAGGCCAAGGTCAAGGAGCTTTGTTCCTTCCCCCCCCCCCTAGTAGTTTTACAGTTTTTGATCTTACAGTTAAGTCTTTGATCCATTTCAAGTTAATTTTTGTGAGTGGCATGAGATAGGAGTCCATTTCACTCCTCATGTGGTTATGCAGTTTTCCCTGCACCATTTACTGAAGAGACTGACATTTCCCTATTGGGTCTTCCTGGCTCCCTTGTCAAATATTAGTTGTCCATCTATGTATGCGTTTATTTCTTGGCTCTCAAGTCTATGCCTTCATTCTATTTCTAGGCAGTATACCATACTATTTTGATACTGTAGCTTTGTAATTTGGTTTGAAACTCAAAAGTCTTTAGGTTTGCTCTTCTTTTTCTGTGTTGCTTTGGAGTTATTCAGACTTCTGTGGTTTCATATAAATTTTAGGATTATTTTTCTGTTTCTGTGAAATCTATAGATATTTGGGTATAATGGACATTTTAAACATTAATTCTCTTAATCCACAAACACAGGATATTTTTTCATTTGTGTCCCCTTCAGTGTCTTTTATCAATGTCAGGTTTTGGTGTACAGATCTTACCTCCTTGGTGAGTTTATTCCTGTATGTGTTTATTGGGTTTTTGTTTGTTTAAAGATTTATTTATTTATAAGAGCTGGGGTACATGCCAGAGGTATGGGTTGGGGGTGAGAGGATTCCCCAGAAAAAGACTGGGGAGCAGAAAAGGCAGAGTGACTGAAGTACACTGCAAAGGGGAGCAGTGGGAGGGTCAGGAGAGGTCTGCCGCGCCATGTGGGTCACATCCCTGGCCAGGGATTGAACTCATGCTGCAGTGACTGCATCTAGCTTCATAGTGCTGCACTTTAACCCCTCACACCACCAGGGAGGGCTCATGTTTGCTTGATTTTTAATGTGATCAAGTCTTTGCTGCAAATCCAGTGATGCCTCTGTGAGAATTGTGAGTGTGCAGATCCATTGTCCCTACACCAAAATCTCCATGTAACCAATGTTACATGGTCTCATGTCTGTTTTTATGATATCTGTCCTGTTTGCCTAAAGACAAGCAAAGCTTGTCTTTACTTACCCTATTAGTCACTTTCAGTTCTCCTGCTTTTCATGGACTTTTCCTAGTTTGATATCTATACCCCCAAGATTGCTAATATTTACCTCAAATAGGCGTTAGTAAGAAATCTTTTGGGGTTCTCTTCTTGGGCCTCTATTTATAGACCTGAAATGTCTGTTTCAGATTGCTTAGAGCCACCTTTTGCTTACTTTGAGGGCTGATTGCATTCGGGAAAATTGTTGCTGTATGTAGATTTGCCAGGAGTCTTTTTGTCAGAGGGGTCTGCAGTGACTGATGGACTCCCCTGACTGGGTGGCCCCTGCCAGCCAGGACGTTCTTCTGCAACTCTGGTTCTGCAATCTTTAGGGCTGCTCTGTAGTAGTAATACCACCTTTGTCCAGGGTATTTCCAAGTCTTAATGTCCGGGCCCCAAAGGCCAAGTTAGGATACAAAGGTTTTAGCATCTGCTGTCTAGGGAAACATAAGGGCGCATTCCCTAGTGGTGAGGAGGACGTGCTGGCTCAAGGCTACCCTGAGCATGGAGGCAGAGCTGCAGCTTCCCCAGCCACCTCAAGCTCCTGCTCCCCTTTCTTACAGTGTTCTTTCTCACCATTCCTGCCCCTCTCTCTGGCCTCCTGCTCACCCTTTTCCCCCCTGCTCCTCATGAAATAAGTTGATCTCTGTGCCACTCACCTTGGCCTCAGTAGTCTACTCCCTCCTTGAGTAGTGTTAGAGTGGGTTTTAGCAAATCCTAGAAAGAAAGGTGGTGTGAAGAAAGGGAGGACCCCGGGCCCCTGTGGCTCACCTCAGCAGCTCCACAGCTCACCACAAAGAATGAATGCTGGTTTTCTCATAGTCTCACAGAGTCGAGCACAACCAATGCTGGTTTTCTCATAGTCTCACAGAGTCGAGAACAGGCCCTTAGCTGAGGAAAGCCTCTGTGGCCCCGAGCATGCTGAGCTTCAGCATCTTCCTCAGCCAAGTCTGGCAGAACAGCTTCCCTGGTAGAGACAGCAGAGAGGGTAGGATCTGTTGTGATCTGTTGGGGGCGCCAGGCCAGGAGCCAGTTCTAGCTCTGGTCTCCTCTGTGAAGTTACTGGTGTCTCCAAGCCTCTGCTTCCTCATGTCTGAAGCAGCATACCAACCCCCAGGGTTACTTCAAGGACCAGATGAGGGAACAAGCAATCTAGCACATGTTGCCTGTCATCTGAGTCCTTCTGCTGATCTTGGAGCTGTGAAGGAGGGGGGGGTGATGAGGTGGCTTGTGTGTGAGGACCGAGAGTTCCAGAGAAGGATGCTAGAGTTGCCATCCTGCTCCTGGTACTCACCAGCCATCCGTACCGGCTTCAGTCTCTTTACCCCTCTAAGCCTCTTAACTCTTTTTTTTCCCCAATTTTTTTTTTATTGTATATAATAGGCCTCTTAACTCTTATGGAGGGACAGGGGGGTTGTGAATAGCACTCATCTAAAGAGAATGAATCAGTTACGCAAATTAAATTATATATAAAATGAGAGGATCCCTCACAGTTCCTGTCATGTCACCCCATGCTCAATCAATGTTAGTTATAGATTTTTTTTTTATGGCTAGGCTTTGCTGTGGTAGGCCTATTCCATGAACCCAGCCTTGTGGAATGGTTATATATGGTAGTCAGGTTAGTTTGGGTAAATTAGGATAACTGAGGCAGTCAGAAATGCCCCCTCTTGCTGGTGACACACTTGTAAGAAAGAATTGCCCACTAGTTGCCTGTGGCATTGTGGGGGAGGGGGGGGCTGTGGCATGGGAAGGGCCAAGTAATCATATGGGCTGATTTACAGTGAAATGAAGAGTTCCAAGAGCTGTGTGCGAGGTTGGAGAGATTCTTTAGTTGGTACCTTGACTTCCAGGAGGCCCTCACCTGTTCTGTGGGAGCTGAGATTATCCCTTTAGAGTGTACATCAGCCTCCTGAATAGTGATCAGCTGTCATAGTCCTTATGTACTGGCCTTCCCACCAGATGCCTCAGACATTCCTCTAGCCTCACTGCAGTCCTCCAAGGGGGCCCACAAGTGCCATCTTACAGATGGGGAAGCTGAAGCTCAGACAGACTTGTGTTAGGGCCAATCAGAGATAGAAAAGGCAGAGAATCAGGCCCACACTGATCATCTGACTGGAACCCCCACACACTGTGCTTTGCTGTATGGCCTATGTATTTTTCCAGACTGGGGAGGAGTTGGTTGGGCTTGCAGTGAACCCAGGCCTTAATGTTGACTGGCAGCTGAGGCCCACAAATCACTTACCAAGGGTGAACAACTCTTTGTCATTGCTAATTTTAGTTGCAGAAGCAGGATTGTGTGGGTCGTGCAGTGTGTGTGAGTGTGTGTGTGTACGTGTATGCTTCCTCACGTACCGGGACCAATAACTCACTAAGCAATTCAACCTGTCACAGCAGCCTTCTCTTGTGACAGAGCCTATATCCCATTGGTTAATACCTCACACCCAGAGGCCCAGAGAGAGGAGTTAGAATGCTAATTTTAAGGAACCGGCTCAGTCATTTTGATCCCATTAAAACACCAGCATCCTTCTCATGCAAAACTGGTGCCTCAATTACCAACTAATTGCCTGATTATTGTGCAGGGACAGGAGACTTCCATCAGCAAGGGGCTGCCCTCCTTCCCTTGAGAAAGGGCTGAATTAGAGAGTGGGGGGTGCCTGTGCTGTCTGAGGTTGTGCTCAGGGGGAGACTGGTTGGAAAGACTCTCTGGGAGAAGGAAGATTGGGCGGTAGAAACTCACCTCCAATTCCTCTTGCTCCCTTTGTGGTGACCTCTCTTTCTTTTCTTCCCACATCAGGTACTGGAGACATGTGTAAAGAACTGTGGCCACCGCTTCCACATCCTCGTGGCCAACCGAGACTTCATCGACAGTGTTCTGGTCAAGATCATTTCTCCCAAAAACAACCCTCCCACCATTGTTCAGGACAAAGTGCTTGCTCTGATCCAGGTAGGTTGGCTTCCCTAGTCCAGCCTGTTGGGATGGAGTAGTTGGTATATGGATGGAGTATATGGTATATCAATGAGTTCTGTGCCTTCCCATCATTTAGAGGAAAGAATGAAAAAGAATGGAGGTTTCTGGGTTTAAATATTTGTTACAAGATGTTTTTTGTACACTCACCCCACTGGAATGTAACTCCAAGCAGCAGGCACTCTAGCAGTTCAGCAGAACCTTCCTGAAGTTTTCCAGGTGCTTGGCGCTTTACTGCCCACGGTGGCCTCTGAGCCATGAGGCAGTGTGGAGAGGGCCACATTAGAGCCAGGCTGGAGAGTCACATGGCTGGGGCCAACTGCTGGCCAGGTGGGCAGGGTAGAGGGAGATACTGAGGAGCTAAGATGGCTGTTGTACTCTGAGGGATGATGGGCCCAGGGTGCATCACAAAGAGAATAGATGTGCAAAGGTCTGTGAGCATCCCAGACAGCACCGATGCCTTGGAAAGCACTCATTGTTAGCTGCTCTTTCACGAATTAGCCCCAAACATAGCAAATCAAAACAATTGTTTGTTATCTTATAGTTTCTGGGTCAGGAATTGAGGAGCAGCTTCACTGAGCCTCGCGGGCTCAGGAACTCTCCTGGAGTTGCTGCGTTGTTGAGCGGGGCTTCCTCGCGTGCATGCTTCACTGAAGCTGGAGGCAGCTCCGCTGGCTCAGCCTGGCCTGCAGGAGGCTTCAGCTCCTTGCTGCCTGTTGGAAAGAGGCCGCAATGCCAACTTCTTGAGTGTCCCCACGACACAGCAACTGGTTTTTCCATAGATCAAGTCATCCAGGAGAGGGCAGAGAAGCTGCGGCGCCTGTTAGGACCGAGTCTGGGTCACACAACATCTTTGCTGTCATATTCTGCTTGTTAGAAGGAGTCCCCAGCTCTAACCTCAAGAGGAGGTAATGAACTGCCCTCTTAAAGAGAATGGGATGTTTTGAAACTTTCCCATGGAGACAGAGTGCAGTGAAGACCCTGTGGCCAGGCTGGTGGCATCTTGGGGAGCAAGAGATGAGGCCAGAGGAAGGCTGGGGTGTGGGGGCCTTAGATGCTGAGAGTTTGTGCTTTGACCTATAAGCACTGGGGGGTGGAAGGAGGCATTGAATGTTTCTGAGCTGGGAATACACAATCAGATCTGAATTTTAGACAGAACACCCCGGCGACAGGGTGGAGAGCACGTGTCAGCAAGTATAAGGAGGTGGAGTGAGTGCTGGGGTGTAGGAACAATAAAGGCCTGCAGAAGCCAAGAGGAGCTAGATGGAAGCGGAGCTCAGACTGGGGCATTGTGATTGGTGTGGGCAGGGGGCGCTCGAGGTGGTGGCAGGGAGGAGAGGGCAGCCCAACTGGGGAGTCTGTTGGCTCTGTCTCCTGTACCCTCTGCCCGGAGTCTTCCTCTGCAGCTCCTTCCCTTCATGCAGAGTGCCCTCAGAGGCCTGCTGCCAGCCAGGTTAAAAGTGCACATCTCACAACAGTTTTCTGGTAACTCTGTGCTAACCTTTCTATCATCTGTCCTTGAGTACCCAGGGGTGTGGCATCCCCAGGGGCTAGAGCAACTGGCTGTGTAGAAAAAGTGTTCAGTCCTCTGTTGTTTCCTCATTGTGGGGCTCCATGTTGTTCACTGAAGCTCGAGGACGTGGGGGATGACGCCTCTGTGCTTGCTTCCTGGGCTGTGCCCACCCCTCCATTCTGCCTGGTGTCTCTCTCACACATACATGTGCTCGCCATCTTACCCCTGCCCTCCCCACGCCTCCTTGCCCCTCACGGCCACCCATTTCCCTCCCATCATACTCCCATGCCACAGCGCCTCCAGTAACTGACATCAGGAACATGCATAATGGCTTTTCCTCGCAAAGGAGGGAGCACCGCGTCCTGCACCCCTGTGTAGGCCCCACAGTGGCCATAGGTGAGGTCTCTTCAGAGTCAGATCTGGAAGGAGTGTTCCTGTGGCCAGGCCCCATGGTGCTCAGCTGCCTCTGCCGACTGTGTGTGGATCCTGGCCAAAGGGAGCCTGCACTGGCCCTGGCCCTGGCCCTCCCTGGCATGCCAGTGCACCTCACCCTGGCCTCCGAAGCTCTCCCATGATGTCCCCACCTCCTTCAGTGCTACTTCTACTTGACTGTGTAACCTTGACAGATGTTTTAACTTCTCTGGGCTTCTACCTACTTGTATGTAAAACAGAGGCTGGCTTTCTTGCCCTCTTGCTCTCAGCCCTGAGTCTGAGCTCAGCCCCCAGCAACACTGGTTTGCACCGTGTTCCGAGGGCTCCCCCTGCTGGCTTGGCAGCAGTATGTGCATCAGAGTACCTCTAGGTCTTCTGTGCGCATGGCTGGGAAAACCCTGGAGGCTTTAGGTGTGGGTGCTAGCTGGTGGGCTGGAGGACCAACTGGGGTCAATTCTCCTTCTCCAGGCTAGGAGCTTTCAGCCTTGGTCATGGCAGGCAGCATGCAGAGCGGACACATACCTTGGCTTCTCTAGTGGGGGGACTGGGAAGGTAAATAGGATCCTTAACTTTTTCTTTTTACTTTTTATTGAATCATAATAAAGCATGAAATAAGTGAAACAGGAAATCACATCTTTTAATCACATTTTTTAAAGATTTATTTATGCATATAAGAACTGGGATATAGGCCACAGGTGTGGGAGGTTGAGAGGATTTACCAGAGAGAGTGGGGAGCAGAACAGGCAAATCTACTGAAATACACTGCTGAGGGGAGCAGCAGGCGAGACAGGAGAGGTCTGCTGTAACATGTGGGGGTCACCTCCCTGGCCAGGGATCAAACTCATACTATAGTGGCTGCCCATAGCTTCACAGTGCTGTGCTTTAACTAGGGAGGGCCCCAGTCACACATTTTATTTTTTTTTAAAGATTCATTTATTTATGCATACAGAACTGAGGTACAGGCCAGAGGTGGGGGGTATGAGAGGATTCACCAGAGACAGAGTGGGGAGCAAAACAGGCAGATCAATGAAGTACACTGCTGAGGGGAGCAGCAGGCGGGTCAGAGAGGTCTGCTGCACCATGTGGGTCACTTCCGGGCAGGGGATTAAGCTCACACTGAATCGGCTGTGGACAGCTTTGCAGTGCTGCCCTCTAACCCGCTGTGCCACCAGGGAGGGAGGGCCCCAATCACACATTTTTAAAAAGTGTATTCAACTTAATACATCTTTACAAAGTGGACATATCCATATAACTAGCACTGAAGGAGGATATGACCAAACAACTCAAAAAGAGCTCCCAGCCCCTGACATGACCACCGGCTGACCTCCCACAGTGAAGGTAGGTTTTTCTTGTTCTTGAGCTTGTTCTGTGAGGACTCCTGCAGGGCGCTCTGTTGTGTCCAGTCCTCTGTGTGTGTGGGCCTTGCACGGCATTGAGTGTGATGTAAGCCTTTGTTCTACCTGCTCAGATCAGCAGCTCTGACCCACTGGATAAATGTGCCACAGTCTATCTCTCCCTCCCACTGTCAGTGGAACAGTTCAGGACCATCATGAAAAACACTGCCATGGGCCCTCCCGGTGGCACAACAGGTTGAAGTGCAGAACTGCAGGGCTGTCACAGCCACTGCGGCACAGCTTCCATCCCCAGTCAGGCGGGTGACCACATGGCGCAGCAGACCTCTCCTGTCTCACCCACTGCTCCCCTCAGCAGTGTATTTCAGCCAATCTGTTCTGCTCCCCACTCTGTCTCTGATGGGTCCTCTCACCGCCCCCCCACCTCTGGCCTGTACCCCAGTTCTGTATGTATAAATAAATAAATCTTTTTTTTTAAATGCTGCCACGAGCATCTAGCATGTCTTTTAGTCAGCATATGTATTCTTTTTCATTGGGTGTTTGTTGAATATGTAAAATTGCCACCTTTAGTCAAAATGGTTGGCTATTTGCACATCCCATATGGTTCAACCTAATATCTAAGGGTGAAATTGCTGGGAGGTGGGGAAGGCCCTTGCTCCAGTTTAATGGTTATACCAATGATTCTCCTACCAGCAGGTAAGAGTTCCAGTTGCTTCACATCATCACCAATCTGTCATGTTCTTCATCTTCTTCGTTAGGCCCATCTGATGATATATAGAAGTATTGCATCTTGTCAATCTTTTTTTAATGCCTTTGAAAAAGGGATTTTGGGCCCTCCCTGGTGGCGCAGCAGGTTAAAACACAGCACTAAGAAGCTAAAGCCACTTCAGCATGAGTTCGATCCCTGCCCCAGGGGTGACCCACGTGGTACGGCAGACCTCTCCTGACCCGCCCGCTGCTCCCCTCAGCAGTGTACTTCATCAGTCTGCCTGTTTTGCTCCCCACTCTTTCTCTGGTGAATCCTCTCACTGCCCCTGCACCTCTGGCTTGTATGCATAAATAAATCTTAAAAAAAAAAAAAGATTTTACTTTACATATTCATACACTTTTGAAAACTGATTAGGACCAGCCCATGTCTGCTGATCCCCCTAGGGAGACTAAATGCTGCTGCCTCAATGAGACAAGAATGAGGGCTGGGGGGACGGAAGCTCACTGACTGTTGCCTTTACTAGGCAGTGGTGTTGCAGGCTACCATCTGACCCCACCCCAGCCAGACTGGAGAGAGGCCCCACTAAGAATCCATGGTGGATTCTTCCTCACTACCTTTGGTATCAGGAAGCTCATGGGTCCTCTTTGATTTTTTTTTTTTTTCTTTTGAGCCCAAATACAGAGAAGCAGAGCCTGGCCCTGCCCTCAGAGAGCCAGCAGTTTAACAGGGGAGATGAGGTTTGCAGGTGCCCGGCCTAGCCACAAACACTCACACCAGCTTTGTAATATTCAGGGGGAACTCTAAACTCAGTATCTTGGCACTGGAAAAGCTTTTAAGATGAAGGGACATAGATCAGCCTCATCCTTCCTCCTGCCCATGAAGCATGGGTGGGTCTCCCGGCCCTAGTGGAATCTGTGACCTGAGCCATTGACCTTTGATGGATGGCAGAGGCTGGCAACTCCTTCTTGTCTTCTCAAATGGGACTAGCACAAGTACACAGAGAGGGACACAGCCGAAAGGCCAGCAAGGGACCGTGTAAAAATGTAGGGCAAAAGCTAAGAGCTGTGGAGGTCCAGAGGCTGGGATGAGCGCGCTGGCAAGCTGCTCACCAGACGGCTCTGCTCACAGCAGCTCTCGCCCGCACACCGCGCGGAGGGCCACATTCTGGACGTGCAGATGCCCGCGGTGCTCCCGAGAAAGGCAGATGCTTCCAGAAGGTACAGACATAGGCCTTACACACTGGACTTGGCCTGGGGCCACAGGATGGTTTTCCTTGGGCCTTCTGAAAGGTAGGGTCTCTGGGGGACAGGAGCCTGAAGGGGCCTCTTTTGGGGAGTGGCTATGGATGGCTCAGGGCATGAAGAGAGGAGAGATGGAGTATGGGAGGCCAAAGAGCACTGACTCTCTTCGCAGTTGGCACAGAGAATAGCTGGTGGCAGACATGTGCCATGGGAGATGCCCTCTGTGGCCATCCTAGGTTGACAATGGCTGTGAGCAGCATTCTAGGAAGGAGGCAAGAGGGAGGTTAGGCTGGGGCCAGGAAATGCAAGTTCCCTGTTCACAGGAAGATATTAGAAAAGCTGGCTTGGAGACCAGTCCTTGGAAACCTTCCTGCCCCTCACTAAGACTTTAGCCCTGTCCCCCAGAGACCCTACCTTTCAGAAGGCCCAAGGAAAACCATCCTGTGGCCCCAGGCCAAGTCCAGTGTGTAAGGCCTATGTCTGTACCTTCTGGAAGCATCTGCCTTTCTCGGGAGCACCGCGGGCATCTGCACGTCCAGAATGTGGCCCTCCGCGCGGTGTGCGGGCGAGAGCTGCTGTGGGCAGAGCCGTCTGGTGAGCAGCTTGCCAGCGCGCTCATCCCAGCCTCTGGACCTCCACAGCTCTTAGCTTTTGCTCTACATTTTTACACGGTCCCTTGCTGGCCTTTCGGCTGTGTCCCTCTCTGTGTACTTGTGCTAGTCCCATTTGAGAAGACAAGAAGGAGTTGCCTGCCTCTGCCATCCTTCAACCTTTCCCTTGAAATTGTTTTCAGGGACAGAAATAGCATCCTAGTAGAGTAACCTCCCCATGATCATGCCTGACCTACCTCCTGCCCTCCCCCCCAACAACCTCCCCCGCCCCAGTGCCACCTCAGCCTGTAACCAGCAATAGAGTCTAAAAATACTCTCTTTCCACTGAAGGTTTTTCTTTCCACCGAAGAAAGTGAGCTGTGTGGGGTGGGGTGGGCGTGGAGGCAGGAGGAACCTGAGGCATTGTGTTCGTGGAAGGTTCAGAGACCTGGTGGCTGGGCCTTTTGGTCAGATTCTGTGTGGATGGGCAGCTCCTGGGGACTGTCATCCGCACGGCTGGGTCATAGGCAGAACATGACGGAAGACTCCTTTTGGCTGAAACAAGGAGCTTACAGTTTGAACCAGTAGTCGTTTATTGTTCTGAAATGTGATGATTTGAAACTTTGTCAAAACTTAAGGGAAACAGAAACAAATGGAATGTGGCTCTTGTTTATGTAAGGGCTTAGCCTGGGGTTTGCAGCCCAAAGGAACAAAGGAAACAAAATAAAAAATTTCTCTCTCTTTCTCATTAGACTTTCCCCCTAGATCTTTCACCCTCGTTACACTGTAGAAATAGGCAGGAAAATGGACAATTACATAGAGAACAGTGAAGTGGCCACTTGGTAATTAACCTGCCAGCTCCTGTGACAGGGACCCTCAGAGGGTGCCGACGCTCCCACGTCACTTTGCTTTCTGACAGGCAGCCTGCCCCCACCACCTTGGGACTCCTGGGCTTCCAGGAGGGGACCAGAGTGAACCAGACCACCCGAGGCTTGCCACCTCTCCCCTGGGTGGATTCTCCATTCTCAGCTGGATCAGCTTTCTGGAGGGGCTCCTCCTTTATCATTGTCACTTAGTCTGTTGACAGCCTAAGTGCCCATCTCCCTCTGTTCTCTGAACTGGGACGAGAGAGCCACTTAGCAGCCATTAGAACTGAATTCAATCTAACTAGACAAATGTTGACTGACCACCTTCTCTGTGCAAGGGTGACACTTCGGGTGTGCCTTCAAAGGTGTGCAAGCTTGTAGGGAAGACAGAAACACAGGTATTCAGGCATCGTGCCAGGAAGTTGCTAGAGGCATAGAGCATCTCTGGATTTCTCCCGCTTCTGCATTGCCACAGAAATGTGCCCCACCCATTTCCATGTTGACATCAGAATCTTGTTCAGTAGAGAATGCTGCCTTGGACATGTGGCCTGTCAGCAGCTGCCCCAGGGGTCCCGTACAGGGGTTGAAATAGTGGCAGGTGGGAAGGGAATGGCCTAATCAAGACTGCTTGGTTACAAATAACAGATGCCAGCTCCAGCTTGCCTAGGCAAAGAGGAAAGTTTGTCATGACAGGGCAGGGTTTGGGGTGTGACTGGGCCTGGGGAAGGAACAGTAAAACTTTCCAAATCTCTGGCTTTATGTCTGCATCCCTCAGCACACCAGCTATACCTGTCCGAGCACACAGGTTCTCTGCTCCTGGGTCACAGGAGACAACACGGCTTCCTCCCAAGACTCCCAGTTATAGAAGACAGCTCCAGCTTCCCAAAGAGAGCATCCAAGCTCAGTACCCGCC